TTCCAAACTTGTAGAGTTGGAATTTAACTTCTTTTTACAGAGAGAAACCTGTCCCCCCACAGAAGACTCAGAGCCTTTAAGGGTCTACTCTAGGCCACCAGACAGTCCTAGGTGAGGGAGGTGGGTCTTATGTGTTTTCCTTCTTTTCATTGTATGGATTCATGTCGGTGACATTGATAGATGCCTTTAAAGACTTCCTTCCCTGAGGCCCCAAGATCTCTCAGCTGCATTCTAGTCTTAACCTGAACTACCAGTTCAGGGGGTTGTGGGCCTTGGTATGTTGCTCTGAGTTGACAAATTCTGTCATTCTCCCTGGACTATGGCAACCTGGATTCAGAACCAACCCTGCTGAGACTAGCTCTGTAACTTGGCTGCTTAAGTAAAGTCTCAGAGCCTCAGGGCTTTGTCTGTGTAATAGTTGTCTGTTATAGGTTTTCAGGGAGACTAAATTACATTACCGATACACATACATTTACCTTTAGACTGTCTGGCACTGAGAAAGTGGGGCATAGTGGCTTTGGTGGGGGAGTAGGGAATTGCGCCATAAATGATCATTTTCATTTCTGTTAGAATTATATGTTCTGCTCTCTGGGGCCTACTTCTTATTAAATGATCGAATCGGGGAAGAATGTATATTTTTAGCATTCTTAAATTTTGGAATATGAAATATTAGTTCTTGGTCCTGACTTATGATTCCCCTTTCATCATTCTTTCCAATGAAAGAAGAACACCTTTTGGGGTCAATTTCTGGCACATCATGGGGCAGGGAACAAATGCTGTGGGAAATTTGAGTGTCATTTATTTCTGGTCCCAATTCAGAATCTCAGAATCTAAAACATGATACTCTAACTTCCTCAGGAAAAGCAGAGTCCATTTGATATCTGGCCAGTCTGAAAATCAAAGAGTGAACATTTCATTGTCAGATCTGTGGTGTTGCCATGGACCCTGAACTGTAAATATCATTTAGGCAACACTCTTCTTAAAAGAAAAATATGTGTACTTCCAGAGCTAAACTATCATTCTAGACTCCAGGTTTTTTTAGAAAAGCTGGTGCTCAGCGCTCGTGGGTTTTTGCTGAGTTTACGGATTCTGATTTAAAAAGATACTAACTGTCCAAATCACAGACCAAAACAATTATCTGCCACATCTGTACATATTTTACAAAGGCTGTTTGCTTTAACAGGGCACTCTACATGCAGACTGACACATATGAAAAACAAAAACACACTCATTTACACACTGGCACATAGTCTCTACTAATTATTCTGACCCTGTCTAGTCCTGAATTTTGTCATCTAAAAAACAAAGCTCTTGCAACTCTAATATTCCATAGTTCTAATTTTATCTTTATCTTTGTAGTAAAAGCATCAGTCATTTTATCTTTCACCTTTGTGGCACTGTCTAGATGACGGCTACCAAATTGATGTTTTCTTAGGGAAGTTTTATTTGAGGCTAAGACAAAACCCATCACAAAAGATAAAGTAAGCAAATGCATGTATCTCCTCAGACCTTCATGATTTCTGCCCAAGGCTTGCAACGGTTTAAATATGGATAATTATTGGCTGGTGTTCTCTTTGTTCCTTGAAATATTATCTGAGACTTACAGAGCAACCAAATAGGGTAGTAAGAGGTCAGTAGATGAAGATTTATTTTAATCAAAAGCAAAGATATAGTGGAAGGTGCTGCCTTCGCCCATTAGATCTCCATATCTAGATTTTTATACTGTCTTGACTTGTGTGCAAAAATACATCTTAGTAATAACTCTATTTCCACACATTGGAAAGCCATTCAGAGCTACCACTTCAATGAAAACTCTAGGTTTGCGGCAAAGGGAGTGAAAATATGTTCTAAAGACAATATACTTCATGCTTGGTCTATAGTCATTCCCAAGCAATTATGGATCATAAAGATTTTCTCATATGAATTCTGCAATTTACCTATCAGGAAACCAAGGCTCAGAGAGCTTTGCTGACTCTATCAAAAGGTCTATTCTTGGTTAGTAGCAGAATCCTTGAGAGCTGATGACTCAAGAGTAACAGTGGCAACTTCCAGTTTCCTGTGGTCCACTTAATATCAGTCAACCCTTTTCTGACAGTTCAACCAGCCTCCGCTTTGTTTATATAATTATTGGTTAGCTTTTGGCTCTACTCACAAACCCAGCACTAACAATTGCATGTGACATGTATTTATGATGGGGGAAGCTGTATTAACTTTTAGTATCCCCAAGCCTTTGGCTTCAGATATATATCATGAAAATAGTTCTGTATAATTCAAGTAGTATTAATTTTTCCCCCACCTCAGACTTAAAGATCTTTGATATTTTTGGTGTTTAGATACTTCTGTCAAATGCCAGTGTTTTTGATGGAGTTATGATGAGTTTGAACACTCCATTGTCAAAAACTGGATTTTATCAGATCATTTACAGGTGATTAGATCCTGAGGGTCATTAATTTAATGAGCAGTTCATAGAAAATCTAAATATCAGTGTCATAAGCCAGAGAATAAAGCCAGTGATCCTCTTCATTTACTCCAACTAGAAAATTTGGTTTTTGAACAAAGAATTAGAAAGGAAATTGGTTTCTGTCAAATTTGCCACATCTGGCTGATTTTACCAGCTAAATCTTCTGTAAGCCAAACATGTTTCTGCCAAGCAGCCAATAATAGGATGTTAGTCCACAATGGGGAAATGTTGACTCCTTCTTATATTTTTTATTTTTAGTATGTCTTTTGGTCACTAAACCATCTATTGTTTATCTTGCACATTATATTGCACTGCATGTCATGTGTTGACAATTAAGATGTGCCTTAACCTCATCTGCAATACATTTCATGGATACATCTTATACTGAAAAAATTATTCACTGTGTTCCAGTCCTAAATTTCGTCATCTTACATGTGAAATTGTACTAGTCGCTCTATTTCTGTTTCTCAGACTTATTTATGGCTGCTGCTTAACTTTGGTTGAAAGATAACATAAATACAGAAAAGGGCCCAGATTATAAATATATGTTGAATTTTCATGAAGTAAACAAATCCTGGTAAGGAATAAATTTCTTACCAGCATCCAGATCAAGAAACAAAATGTTGCCACACACCCACCTCATGTCACTTTCCTGTCAATACCATGACCTCTCGCCCCACCAAGGAAAAACATTATCTTGACTTCTAGCACTGTAGATTCGATTCACTTATTTTTTAATTTTATGAAAGTAGAATCTTACAGTATGTGTTCTTTGGTGTCTGGCTTATTTTACTCGGCTTTGTTTTTGTGAGCTTAATTCAAGATGTTGCATATAGCTGTGGCCCATTTATTCACATTGTTGTATGCTATTCAGTTTGGGGAACATACCTTATCCATTCTACTGTTGTTGGGCATATGGATGATTTCCAGTTTGGGGCTGCTATAAATAGTGCTGCTATGGACATTTTTATATGCATGTGTCTTTTGGTGAACTTAATGGCCATATTCGTTTAGTTTATATTTAGAGTGGAACTGGGTCATACGTGCAGCTTTGGTATACACTGCCAAATAGTTTTCCAGAGTGTTCACCCTTTCCAGCAGTGAAAGAGTTCCAATTGTCCAGCATTCCCACTGACGCTTGCCGCTGTCTGTCTTTTCATTTTAGCCATTGTGGTCGGTATACCATAGTAACACCTGTGGGTCCATCCTCAGGGCTTTTTTGTATATAATTTCCAATTTCCCTTCCACTTTTCATAGGCATTTTTTAAAATAAAGTACCAATTTTAAACTTCCCTTAATACTATAGATAGTAGAAGCAGGAAAATGCCATCCACCATTTAATATTATGATATCAAGAAAATATAGAAATAAAAGATGATTATTGTTGCTAATGATAGAAAATAAATCCACAAAATGTTTTTGCATTATGACAGGATTCTATCTTTGTTTTTGAAGTTTACTGAAAGTTCACTTATTGTTGATCACTTTGAGAAAGGCAAATATAAAAGGCAGCAAAGGATAATTCATTTATGCACAATCCAGAGTTGTCTTCAAAGTTGAAGGCTCAAAAGGTCCATAAAAGAAATGGTCAAAGCTAATACTACTTGCCCTTCCTTGCTTTTGTAGCTCTTATGCCTTATGTGGAAATAAAATGAAGAAGGCAAACAGCTATCTTAAAACAAGGATACTTCATCTCATTCACCATTTAAGTAAACAAGAGAAATGCATGTATACCTATGAATTAGCATACCTATTTATGTTTGAAATATTTATTCACTCATTTCTCAGAAACTTACAGAATAGTTCCATTATGTCAGGCCCTGAAATAGTTGCCAGGGATACAAAAACACAAACTCCTGCTCTCAAGGGGCTTATAGTCTAAAGAGGAGATAGATATGTCAACAAATAGTTACTATAGAGTATAAAATGTATCATCCATTGGGACTGCTATGACAGGACACCATAGAACTCAGTGGCTTTTACACAACAGAAATTTATTCCTCACAGTTCTGGAGGCTGGGAAATCCAAGATCAAAATGCCAGCATATTCAATGTCTGGTAAGGGCCTCCTTCCTGTTTTGTAGACAGCTGTCTTTTTGTTGTCCTCACATGGCAGAAGTGGTTTCTTTTATAAGGGTACTAATCCTATTCATGAGGGCCCCGCCTCCCAAAGACTCCACCTCCAAATGCCATCACATTGGAAATTAAGTTTCGACATGTGGATTTTGTGGGGCAGATACAAAACATTCGGTCTATAGCAAAGTATATGTGAAAATACACAGGTTGCAGTAGGTGACACAAAGGAGAGAGAGTAAGTCTTCTAGATAGATTTTAGAAGAAGACTGCACAGGGGAGGTGGCTGTTGATCTGGAATTTGCCAAACCAGGGCCAACCGGGGGTAGAGGGAACTAAACCAGGAAGTATGAGACAACTTCGTCTATCTCTGGAGCTTGAGGTATGCTGGGGAGAAGGAGAAACAGCAGATGATAAAGGGCTTCAAATACTATATTAAATACTATACCAGAGATTTGGGCTTGATTTTTCCCCATAGCCTAGAGAGTCAGTCCTTTAAACATTTTGAGGGCTGTGCCAAATTTTAGGGATACAAAAATGAATCCATGTATTCTATTGGCAGGTGTTCCCTTGAACACCCACTGTTTGCCAGAATCTTGTCCTTAAAAGCAAAACAATTTTATGGGGGAGAAAGACACGTAAAAAAATTGATTACAGAACTGCATAAGTATTATAAAAGAAATGTGTGCTTTCTTCTTCCCTGGACCTAGAAAATAGTAAATTGTCTAGGAACTCTGAACCTCAAGGAGTTTTAAACAGGGAAATGATAATGATCATAGTTTTGATTTAGGAAAAGCAATACTGCTAGTGATCTGAAGCTAAAGCAGATATTTTAAACATTCATCAACTAAATAATGTTATCAGTTTAAATAAACTTTGGGAGACTGAGAAGACTTCAGTTGAATCATCAGTGCTTTCTCTAGGCCCAGCACATGCTGGGGCAGCTGGAAGCCTGACCACCAGGAGCAGGCTTCTCAACTCTCTTGTCCTTCCTTTTCAGGTAACCAAGAATGAACGTCAAGTTATGAAGCCACTTTATGACAGATACCGGCTGGTCAAACAGATCCTGTCCCGAGCCAACACCATACCCATCATCGTGAGTTCACCACCTCTCTGTTGATTACCTAGTTGAATGAGCCCTAGCTATGTTAATAGGACCCTAACCTGCTTTCTCATTAAAGAATTGCCTTTAATAGTTAAACCTGCCATTAATATCTATGGCCCCTAAGCTTGAAGAGTGAAGAATTTATCAAAGACTGAGGCTACATTTGTCAAAAGTGAGCAAATCTGAACGTGATAGAATTATTTTTTCTTTTGGGAGTCACGCTTTGGCCATATTTATCCATCTGACATGTGCTGGGCCAACTCCCTTCTTCTTTCCTCAGAGACAGAGCACCAAGGGGACCGGGCTGTGCTTTCTCCAGGCTTCTCCACACCAAAGAGTGCCTCTCTGGTCCCAAGGGCCCTCTGTTAATAGTCTTCTCTCTCCCTCCAAGAAGGGATAAGGCCCTCAGGAATCATATCCAGGGAGAAATTCTTGGAGGAACTCAGGAGACCAAGCCTCCTCTTTTTGGAGGATGTAGAGAAGTATAAAATGGAAGAAAAGGGAGGACGGCTAATGACTGTGAAGATGCTCTCAGTGGCCGCCATCTTTGGACCTAGCCACTTTTGGCTTCTGAGTTCTAATTTAGTCTAGTAGTAGAGAGCAGCAACTTGCCTTCCACTGTGGGAAAGTCTTCCCGGCACTGGCCAACTTGCCCTCCCCGCTTATCCCAGTCCCGGCTTTTCCACCCCCAGCTATGAGTGCGGTGTGAATGCCCTGTCCCTCTCCGGGGGACTCTGTTGCTCCCTCAGGGACCCTGGGGCTTCCTTTGCTTGCCCTTAGGCTTTTTAGTAAGCACAGCCTTCTTCGTTGTTGTTGAAATGCGTATTCACCTTAGCTGCTGCACTTCTAGTCCTGCTTTTAAATCTCCTTGTTTATTTCTAGGCCTAAGCTGTGGTCTTTATATGTCTTTTAATGGTGTACTTGTTCATATGAATGAGAGATGGTCCAGAGACCTCAGGCAGTGTGTTTGAAGAAAGCTATTTTTCTAGAAATTTTCTGCAGAATAATTACTAAACTAACCAGTAAAAGAATTAAATCTCAAGACTGGTTTTCATTCCTCAGTTAGGAACCTTTAGTGTCCTTAAATAGGTGAGTGGACCTCAGGGAAGTCAGGTAGCCTTTGTATCACTCGGTGAGCGTACGTTATTAGAGTCGAAGCTTCTCACAGTTCAGGCGTTCTTGGAGTTACTGTGATTGGGGATCAGGTGCTTTCCCCTCAGGTTTTTCCCACGTGTTCCAAGCTCCTTGGTTTGTGTATGGGGGCTCAGAAGTGAAGCAGCACTTGGAAAAGAACTTTAGTAGTTCCTGGTTTTCCTGGGAGTTTTTGATGGGGAGGAATTCGAGCGTATCGTTAAAAGGCAGTAATGAAGTACTGATGAGGCAGATGAGGCAGAAGAGGCAGAGAGCTGGCGGGAAAGGGGAAGGTGCGCAATGTAACCTACTTGTTAACGCCTGTCGCAGGGTTCCCCCTCCAGCAAGCGGAGAAGCCCTTTGCTGCAGCCAATTATCGAGGGTGAAACGGCTTCCTTCTTCAAGGAGATAAAGGTGACCACTTGCTAATCTGCCTCAGTCCCCTCCCTGCCTCTTGTGAATGGAGGGGCTTGTGATTAGGCCCTTTGGTGGTAGCTTCCTGTAGTGTCCCCAAAAATCTGCACACAACCACCTTTGAACAGTCCTTTTTTTATTTATGTTATAGACGTGCTTAGTTTCCTTAGTTTCATTTCATTCCCCCAGGTTTTTGTTGTTGTTGTTTTTTTTTTTTTTTTCTTTTTACTCTTTGTTTTCATGGGTGATTCTTTTGTTTTCACAATGTTTTTAGTTGGGGGGCGGCTTTTTGCCTATTTGGAGGATGGATTTATATGTCAAAATTTTGTTAAATTAGCTCACTGGGTAACTCTTTTTCTAAAAAAAAAAATCTCATTTACTGAGTTTATAGAAAAAATAAAATTAACAAGGGCAATGTGTGTGTGTGTGTGTGTGTGTGTGTGTGTGTATCACACAATAAAAAATCACCATTTTATAGACAAATGTCTTAGTTGTCTTTGACAGATTTGCCAGTAGTTTCACCCACTCTTCCTCTTGCCTTTCGCCTGGCGGATTTAGTCCTCAGTGACAACTTTTTCTGGATTGGGAGGTATAATCTGTGCCCATAGATCTATGTGTCTCTGTATGGACCTAATTGGTCTGGACTAGGATCAACCTCTTTCATGTTGTTGTTTCTAGATAACTAAACACACTGGACAACCTCATACAGGGCTCTAGAGATGAAAAGTCAATGTCATTATTTTTAAATCAGTGATTGTCTTTTAGTAGTTTTTTTAAGTCAGGAGGGAGAGTAAAACCCAAAGCAGAAGTGAGTTTTAAGAGTTTCACTTGTCATATTTCTGTGACAATTCCAAGCCTGGGATGGTCTTTTATTTGCTGGAGTTAGGAAAGATTATTTCAGAATATGGGGGCCTCATTCCCACAGAGGGACGCCAGTTGAGAAACGCCCCGTTTCCTCGCCTAATTCTAATTATAACTGAGATAAGGTGTCAGAAGTTATACAGTCTTCTTTTATTTACTCTATGCCTTTTCTTACTTCTTAGGGGTCTTAAATACTTCAGATACCTAACTTTAAGGTATTAGGCAATGATTGTGCTTACTATTCATATTATTGTAAATAGAATTTGTTTTATGAAAAGCTCTAAATGTGAAATTTAGGTGAATGTGCTATATTGTGTCTTAAAAATTAGAGCTGTTTTCTTACATTAAGACAATTGAAGAAGATATATTTTGTCAAGCTGGTAATTTCACACAAAAATTAAATCACTGTAGTTAAACAAAGGTGGGCAATTGTATGTATGAAAATTGATATATTTCTCTTAGAATCATATGATAGAACTGTTACTAGATGAAAATGTGTTCTTTAGCACATCTAAAATATGACACAATAATTGCCGTATTAAACAAATGGAAGATATACTAATGATGCTCTTTTTAAAAAGAGGACATTCTTCCAAATCTTATCCTTTAGCTCAGTTTTCTTTTTCACAAGTGTATTTTGGCCATGGCTCTTTTTCTAGCTCACATGATGGTCAAAATTTCAGATAATTTTGCAATGATTACATTGCTTTTGTAAATAGTGCTATCTTTTAGTTCATTTTGTTCCAATTGGCCAGGCTTATTAGCATGTATTTGGATTGTACTAATTCTTGGCAATTCTGCTACAATTAAAATTTGGCATGTGTGCAGATAAGAAGATTGTATCTAAGTTGTTTTTTAAAAACTGTCCCTGGTTTTAAATGTTTATAGGAGGAAAACAGCTGTGTATGAAATAGAGCCAGCTCAAATTCTGAGTCCCTAAATCTTCCAGCCAAAAAATCCTAGAGGTCATCATTTCTCCCATCCAACATAAATATTTCCTCTGAAACTTCTCTGACAAAATAGAGACACTGTCTCTAAGAAGTGATTCCATCTTCAAGCTTGATAAGTTTATAGCAACAGGGAGAGTAAGGTCACTCATTACTGTAGTAAACATCAATAATAACTAAAAACATTGTTTTGTAAGTATCATTTTTAAAATTATAAAATATGACAATTATATAATATGTAATTTAGATGTATAAATATGTTTGATAACTATAAAATATCACAATTAATGAATAATGATTCCATCTTCAAGCTTGATAAGTTTATAGCAACAGGGAGAGTAAGGTCACTCATTACTGTAGTAAACATCAATAATAACTAAAAACATTGTTTTGTAAGTATCATTTTTAAAATTATAAAATATGACAATTATATAATATGTAATTTAGATGTATAAATATGTTTGATAACTATAAAATATCACAATTAATGAACAACTAAAATTTATAATATTCATAATTATTATTAATATAGTACTTTCTACTTAATAGGCTTAGCTTTGCCCTCTGGAACAGCATAGTGCTTCTTCCATGAGCACTTCATATATTTAGTTGCCTGCCCTGCGCATTCCCACCCACATCCTGTGAAAATTTTTTCTGCACGCTCCTCTTACTATTTCTCATGTGATATGGATTCCAGACCGTCCAGCAGTCCAGTGACTCTGCCTATATACACACCAATTTATCTTTCTTAAAAACTGAAACCCGGAACTATACACTCTTCTAGATATGGTTTAACCAGCAAGAGAGTGGATCAAGGACTAGTCCTGACCTCGATCTGGTTTACTAAAGCCCTTTAGTTCTACAGCTCTGTGACTACATGACTGTCAATGTATTGTGAGGTCATTTTTGTCTTCCTATAACAGGGTGTCTCAGCTTCAGCACTGTAGACATTTTGGGCTGGACAACTCTTTGTTGTATGGGGCTGGCCTCCACTCATTAGATGCCACATGTGCACTATAACCACCCCCTCCACGGTTGTGGCAAACAAAAATGTCTCCAGACATTTCCAGAGCTCCCCTAAGGGATAAAATCACCCCCAGTTTGAGAACCATTGTTTGTTACCCTGTCTTGTTAGTTTATGCAATCCCCAGCTTCCTTTTCTATGGATTGCTTATTGTGTATCAAGCTTTTTATTTTCCTAATCTAATTATAGAAACTTGAATTTTTACAGTTAATTTTTTTCATACATCTGTTCCAGCCTCATGAAATATATTAAATCTAGATTTCGTATTGCAGCATACCAGAGATCCCTATCCACTTTGTATTACCTACGTGTTTTTTGAATACGCCATTTACGTCTTTATCCAAGTGATTGATAAATATAGAGTAAGGTAGAGTCAGGTAAAGAGCCTGCTTTAATAGACTTTTCTCCAGATTCATGTCACCATTGCTCTGCACAGATTTTCACAAGCAGCTTTCCTTTGGTAGATCAGCTCACCTCATTCTTTATTGAAATCCAGTTGTTATGCCAATTTTATCGAACAAGGGAAAATAGTTTTCATGACTTGTTTTTAGGAGACAATGCTAGTCACCGTTGATCGTTACTATTATTTTTTTAATCAATTGCTCATACATTATGTATTGATTCCTTCTAGAATCTACCCAATATTTACAACAACCTGGTAGTCTTATAATTTGAAGATCTATTTGGCTATTTCTCTTTTTCCTTATGATTGTCATAGCTTACCTAGAATAGTTTTGTTTAGCTTCATCGTTAAAAACGTACAAGACACATTCTCACATGTTTAAGTTCTCCCAGGCCCCTGGGATATAATTCATAAGGCCAAGACACCTAACTTTATTTCTTATGTGTCTTAGGTTTTAAAACTCTCTTAATAGTTTGTATTTCTCTTTTAAAATTGAATTACTAGGCTGTTTAACAGACATTTATTGAGCACCTTCTATATGCAGGCACTGGCCAGGCTCTGCAGACAGCAGTGTTCAGACAGGTCCAAATCCCTACCTCTGTAGAGTTTATGGTCAGGTGGTTCCACCTGGTCTTCTTCATCCAGGGGAAGCAGGTGGGGAGCAGCAGACTGAGTGTCACTGCCTGTGTGCCAAGTGTTCCTTATGAAGACTACATAGGTGGGAACCATTACTTCCTTTTACAAATGAGAAATTTTTAAATTGTTAATTTAAAAATCACTTTTACTCTATTAATTTAAAAATGTTTTGATAATATAAATTTAAAAAAATTAATAATGAGGCATTTACTTCCATGGACCAAGCAAAGAAATTGAAGATCAGAAGTCACCCCAGAGAGAATCTGGAAAAGCCACCTAGTTTTCGCCAGTGTTATCTTCCTAACAACTTTGTTGTAGTTATAAAATAGTCCTTTTTTGTTGTTTTGTCTGTTTATTTACGTTATTTCTCTTCAGAGACACCATTATAAATACACCAAACTCTATGTAAGAAAATCCACCACAGGCAGTGTCCATACTTGTACTTTGACCACCAGTGGTAACTACGGCTGCCTCCTGAGATTAATCTGCTGCAGCGGCACTGAAGCCACTTGGTTTAACTAGAACAATTGATGTTGTGCTTCCCGTTGTTCATGTAGCTGTACTCCTAACCAATTTTTTCATTTTTCAAGATATTAGGATATTCTCTCCTGGTCTGATTGTATATTTTGGTGGTAAATTACTTTTAAAATCTCTCTTTCAGACTCTGATATTATTTCTTCCTTAGACTTACATAGCTTTGAAATTGGCACTAAGAATTACTAATTTGACTTCATTGTTCTTCTAACTGCACTATCATCGAGGTAGAGAATATAATACTTTTCTTAGAATCTTGGATGCTGAGAAATACAGACATATCCTTGGAAGTTCCTTGAGAAAACTTAGGAGATTTATGATTCTAATCATGGGAAGATAGACGTTTGGATCTTCTCAAAAATTCATTAGATTTTGTGTATCAGGCAACCATGAAGTATTTTATAATCTCAACTCTTAAATAGGAAAGCTATATTGTTCAATTTCTGAGAATATTCATAGCTTAATAAAAAATACTTTCTGAAATATACAAGTAATGGAATCCTGAAAGCACTGATTGCTGGTGGTGGATTTTGTTATGTATTGTCACAGAGCTGGGAACTTTTAGATTCTTTTGCGTCATTTGATTGAGAGTATAAATTATGATGGTTGTTCCTCCATACCCTCAGCCTTGACAAATGTTAATGTGATGTACACTGATCTTTTAATCGTTTTTTCCCCTATTGAGTGGCTGTGTTCAGCGTTTGTTATTTACTATGTGTATATAGATGTTCAGTAATAAATTCATAATGTGTGTTGCTAACTGTCAATACAGAAGAAGCTATATGGTGTCTAAATAATTAAAAGAATGTTAAATGATACTTGTAAAGAAAGAATGTCAGAAAAGTAACCACATTTTGGTTGGGATTGCTATGTATCTCCAGGAAGAAGAGGAGGGTTCAGAGGACGATAGTAACACAAAACAAGACTTCATGGTCACTCTGAAAACTGATTTTAGTGCCCGTTGCTTTCTCGACCAATTTGAAGATGATGCTGATGGGTTTATTTCCCCAATGGATGATAAAATACCATCAAAATGCAGCCAGGACACCGGGCTTTCAAATCTCCATGCTGCTTCAATGTATGTCATTTTGGTGTTGAAATGTTTGGATGAAAATAACTTTCCTAAATATTATTTTGGTCTTTGTACTTAAATTGGCGGACAGAAAACAAGTGACTTACCTGGGGTACATGTGTGTGGATAAAACAGTGATTTTTTTTTTTTAAGCTTCTGGCTCAGTTTTGGTATTTGCATCATCCCATGTTATTTGAGGGAGGATCTGAGATCTTGCCTAAACAATCAGATGGTGTCTATAAATGACACTGTGTGGTTCTGTACTCCACAGCTCATCAGTTAACACTCACTGCGCACAGATATCATCTCTTTCTTTCAAAGCAAACTATGACAGAGCACCACGAGATATCACGAGCCCTAAGAATTCATTGTAGCTGGAGCCCCAGAAGTCATAGCAGTTGTCAGTATTTCACGGGATAGAAAACACCCATTTCTGCTGTCCCTCAGCAACCTCAATGGTTTTGCATCTGTGTATTTACCCCTTTGTCCACAACACCTATCAAATTGCACATTCATTACATTTATAACGTCAGATTTAACTCAATTTTCTCGAAATTTTTCTGCCCCTCTTAGACCAGAACTCTTGGAACACCTTCAGGAAATGAGAGAAGAAAAGAAAAGGATTCGAAAGACACTTCGTGATTTTGAAGACAATTTTTTCAGACAAAATGGAAGGTAAGGCATGTTTTCCTTTCCTCTCTGCACATACATCCTCTTTTTCTTCTGTCAGATCTGTGTGATGCCTCTGATGTAGGAACCGCTTTGATTCTGCCCTGTAACCTAGTCCTTGTGTTTGTGTGTGTCCAGGGCCTCTTTGAGGTTGACTGTGAGATGATGAGGTTTGTGTGGTCCTTCAGGAAGAAATCTTCTTGGATAGTATCCAAGACTGATGCAGACCGAGCTAACACTTATAAAACTAACCCGTCACATCAAATTCTAATCTAAAATGAGCAGCTTAAAGCTAAGTTTCCAGTTGACAGCACTAGTTTGTTTTGTTTTTCGTCTTAAGAAACTAGAAAGAGAAATAAGGAAAGGCGGATTCCAGATCTTGCTAGTTACAAAGCACATTTTAAAAGCAAACACGATAGTTGTCAACTTTGAATGAAAAATATACAAGAAGCAGTAAATCCACCTGATTGATAGGGTTTTTTTCTCCAGTAAGTTTGAAGGCATAATGGAATCGTTATGTAACATTATGCTGAGGAATAGTCTCCTCCGTTTGCAAGTGGCTGCACACAGCATGTCTGACTCACATCACAGCAGGAGATAAGGGTAGAATAGATTTGTATCTCTTACATTGAAGTTAAGTTGTATCATTTTAAATTGATTTAATTTTAATATAAATTATCTAAATAGTGTAAATATAGTTTCTCTGTAAGTCCCCTTTATATTTTGCAAAAGTATTAGGAAATAAAAGGACCATAAAAATTAACTTTGGCATTTAGAATGTGTTGCATTACAGTTTATTTCAATTATTGTATAAATTTATTTTTAAGATCTCTGATTTGACTCTGTCCTGTAATGACGTTGTCAAGATTTATAAATTTTATACCTAAATATTCGCTTTTCTTTCTCCATGTGTTGCAGGATGTTTAGAAAAATATAGATAAGCAGATAAAAGAAATAATACCCCAAATAATAATAATACCCAAAGGTAAACCAGGATTAATGTTTTGATGGGTTTCATTCCAGTCTTCTTTCTAGGCATAGTTGTGGTTTGTCTGTTTATCTTTCTTCTCATATAATTATTGTCACATTATATACAGATATCTTATACATGAGGAACTATATATAATTATGTAAACTTCACAAGAATTCAGAGAGTATAATTGATGGGAATTAATAATCATCATACAAGTTTAAAACTCTAAGTGACTTCATATCATAAATCCTGGTTCCCCCATTTCATCTCTGAGGAGGGCGAAGCCCCGCAGGGAGTACGGCTGAGGCTCTGGTCCTCCCTGCCCTGCTCCCTTCACTGCCCTCAGAAGCCAGCTAGAGTCCTTTCCTTGAACAAGGCAGGGCATGAAAAAATAACTTTATTTTTAGTTCATTGAACAAAATAAGTCCCATGTTTGTTCTTTAATAAGAAAAGGAAGCCTGGAGTTTGAATGCTTGGCATGCGCATTCCAAAGTGCAAAGAGAAGCAGGACTGCACCACGCGACGGCTGAGCGCACTCGCTCTGCAGTGAGCCCGGCTTCCCATCCTGCTTTCAGCGTGTGTGGGATGTGGATACTAGCACCATTTTATCAAGTTCTCCTGAGGGTTGTATTAGATCATGGAGACAGATCCGCTTTGCACAGCGCTTCACCTGTAATCTTGCAGTTAACACTAGTGTATGTAAAAAGTATGCATATAAAATTACTCAATAAACAGTAAAGGCTTATGATTCAATTGCTGAATTCCAAGACTAATTTTATAATAATTAGGTGTATTGACTATATTTTTGAAAAACCTATAAATTATAGGTATGCCAATTGCTAAGTAGAAATTTAATGGTTCATTAGATGAAATAAATAAAAGTGAGAAAGCATTAAGTATAAAGGATTTCAATGTATGGAGACTCTTGACGTGAATTCATATATACCAGCATCAGAGAGAGGAACATTTCTACATTTCTTAGTCCTTCACACCATTCTACAAGATGCTAGATTAACCATAAAAACTCAGTCGCATGCTGCCTTCTGAAGGAAGCTGTCCTTCTCTGCTTGTCTAAACCCACCTCCAGTCTTGACACCAAGTGATGTTTGGCAACACTGATTCTACAGGTTGATAAACTGCAAAGTTTCCATGCTGATAATTTACCTGCTGAGCAGTATCATCTAGGAGAGACAGCATAGAGTCCTCAGCCCCTTTCCCTTTGTTTCCATTAGAAATGTCCAGAAGGAAGACCGCACTCCTATGGCTGAAGAATACAATGAATATAAGCACATAAAGGCGAAACTAAGGCTCTTGGAGGTGCTTATCAGCAAGAGAGACACCGATTCCAAGTCCATGTAAGGAAGAAGCCCCGGCCCAAGCAGAGGGGATTGGCGATGCACAGTGAATTGGCCATCTGCCTCCCCTGGTATACAGCAGCTCTGCAGAAACTGGAAGGCAGCTTCAGAGCTGGACCTGCAAAGCATGTAGCCCATCTTCCTCCAGGCCATTCGGATCAGCTCTAGTTTCCATTGCCTGCCTTAGAAACCACCTAGATGGAAGAAAGCAACTTGCCCTGACTTAGGAATTTGTAAGGGAAAGTCAGAATTCCTGCACGCCTGCACACAGGTGCACACACACGCACAGACACTGTAGTGGAAGCTTTATTAACAGTAACAGTGATGAATCACTACATTGAGACACACTCCTCTACGGAGAATATACACTGTTCTTCCCTGGATAACTGAGAAACAGGAGACCATTCTCTGTCTAACTGTGATAAAAACTAGCTCAGGTCTTCACTCTGTAGAACAAACTTGCTGTGCCAGTCCCTGTTCTCTTTGGACCCAGTGAAGGAATGTGCATTGGAGCCCTATTTGCTGCCATGGCCATTTCTGTGACCTTTCCACAGAGCTGCACCTTCCCCACTTGTGTGAACTGTTTCCCCTTCAGCTCTCAGGTAGATGGAAGCTGCATCTGCCCTGAATGGGAGTGCAAACATCTATTTGACGGTGTGTTTCTTCAGGACTTCCTCAGCTGACAAAGAATTTTGATCCCTGTAGGACTGGATCATCTGCAGAGGACAGGGGGAATATGGCAGGAGCTATATGAATGCTGATTTTAAATCAGGTAACAGGGTGAAGAGCCTGAAGAATTCTTTCCTGAACACTGACGGCACTTAATCAGTCTCAGACTTACACATCAGACACTAAGCGAGGCCAGCATGCTACGGCAGCCTGTTTGGGGCTCGGTTTCGTTTTGGCACTAGCCAAACATAAAGGGTCTTGCTTAATTCTTAGCTGAAGTATAGAGGATCATGAGAAAGAGAGAGAGCACCTGTGTTCTCAGCCACTTGCGTACTTACCAGAGTTTAATTTTTTTAAAAAAGTAAACCTGCACTTGAAATCCCCTCACCGAACATTAAATGTAGCCTTTAGAGCTCAGCCTAAAGCAGAATCTAAATCACATTATTTTCAAGATGATGTATAAAGAGAACAAGTAAGGGTGTGTGTCCAATTATGATTATAATTTCTTCAAAGACTGTCACAAAACTGTCTATGTTAGACATTTCAGATGGACCAAGGAATTTAAGACACCAAATCATTCATCTCTTCAGTGTGCTCATGTCACTTTGCGATTCGTTGTTACTTTTTAACCTTCTATGTCTGCACTGGGGAAAGTGGGTTCTGGTTCTGCCTGCCCATCCCAGGTTCGCCTTTGTGCTATCTGAGGTCTAGCAGGGTGTCTGCACACCAGCCACCAGACAAGGTGTTTCAGCAGTTCTGCCTTGTGAAGATAATATTGCAGGTTGAACAGGACAACAGGATGACCTCCTCTGTTTTTCCTTCTTAAAGGGTACAATTTATTTTGTTTAAGAAAACAAAGAAAAAGAACATAAAACTCTACTGACCAGTTGTCAGTTTAAAAAAAAAATGGGTTTTTGAGAAACTGATCAGATTGGATTTATAGCAGCATTTTTCCGTTGCTGAAGTGAGGTGGCAGCTCTGTCAGCTGAAAATTGTTTAAGTCGAGTGGGAGAAAAAGAACGCCTTTAGTTTGCTCTGAAAAACATTCATATAGAAGTATGAGCAGTGTGCCCTGGTTTAATCCACACACTTAAAGATGGTACCTAATCCTGCAAATTTAAATGTACATGAAAATATAGTTTGGTATTCTTTACTGTTTACATTGCAGATTGCTATAATTTCAAGGAGTTATAAATAAAATGATGCACTTTAGGATGTTTTCTATTTTTGAAAATCTGAACATGAATCATTCACATGACCAAAAATTGTATTTTTAAAAGAAATACATGTCTAGTCTGTCCTTTGTAAAGTAATTATTCTCTTAAATAAGCTATAATATAAATCAAATCATTACCAGCTAACTTTTAAAGTACACCTGTTTAAGAGTATTGTTTTGAAAATACTAATATACTACAGAATTTAAAAAGAGAACAAGCTATGTAAATGAGAAGCTACTAAATGTTTTGAATCTATTGTTTTTGCCAAAGATAAATTAAGTAAAAGATTTATTCAGGAATCCTCAGATTTGTATGACTGAATAAAAAAAAACACCAAATTCTAGTAAAATAAATTGTGTATGGAATGTTGTGTTTTCCTTTGTAATTCCTAATTTGTATACTTTTGTAGAACGGCACCCAGAATAAGGGTGAGGAAACCCTATTTACACCAGATTCTATCTGAAGACACGTTAGTCAGTAGGTTCTGACTCTGCCAGAAGTGCTGTGAATTTGTTTCCACAGCAACCATTTCTGCAGCCCAGGGTCTCAAGGCCCTGGAGGCAGCCTCTTAATTGGCTTCACACAGAATACTCTGGACTGGGTTTTTTTCTTTGCTCTCTTGGGAATGTGTGCGTGTTTATTAGCACATGCCAACAAAATAAATGTCAAGGGTTATTTAATAACAGTGATAAGTAAAGATAAAGCATGAATAAACTTGATTGTATGGTTGTAAGAATTAGAGATAGAAGAGGTTTGTAATTTTCACAAGCATTTGCTTTTGTGTTTAGTCTGGAGTAAACACTGAAATAGATGTTTATATTAAATATGGTATCATTACTATATTAAGTATGTGTTTCATCATTGAATCATTTAGTTTGGATTTCACTTTCTGGTCATGTATGTGCAAGGTTTAGGTTTAAGGGCCTACTTCAGAGATTTGAGACAGCGGTAGTTTGTCTTATGCTATTAGAAGAAAGCCCGCATAATCTCATGATCTCAAATTCAAGGAAAATTTCCATGAAAGACCAAATCAAATTAGATTTCTTCCCTTCAGTTGCCAGTTTGAAGTCAAGATTATTATTGCCAAGGCAGGGATCAGCTGTGTCTCTCTTTGTTACATCAGTATAATTTTTGCTTTGTCTCATTCTGATGCAATGCTTGCATGGTGGCAAAAGAGCAGGGTGTGTCTGCTCCGGTATGACATTTCTAGCCCAGGACAAATGCCTCAGGGCCGTGCTTGTGTCAGAAATATAACACTGAGATGTCCTGAGGCCAGCAGTCTTGGAGCCCCTGAGGTCTGATCATTCATTAATACAGCTGAGCTTGGAATTTCTCATAAGTTGCATATTTAAGTTTATTGTCAGAATCAAGGGGCTACTGTGGTGCCAATTAATTCGGTTCTTTCTGGGGCTGCCTAGTTCTCAGTGGACAGAATTGGACTCGGTATCTAGAACTGAACACAGATTTACAAGGAAAATCAAATTTTAAAGTTTGTCGATTAAATTTTTTAGTGATTCTTAATCTGATAATAAAGATGCCTTTTTTTCTGAAGAGTAACACCTTACTACTTTGGACAATATGTTAATAATTGAATGCCATAAACTATTAACTACTTTGTGAAAAGCTAGTTGTAGTCTAATTCCATCTTTCTTTCAAGAGTGGTCTTCCTGACACACAGCTTCCTGGATTTTTTCCCGTAGGGAGAGGTGGTTTCTTCACCAAGGTCAACACTTCTTCACGTTCCGTTTTAGTATCCGCTCGGTTAATCCACAGGGAGGGAAAAAACTGAAGGAAGTAGTGTTTCTTCCGAAACCCATGTGTTTAGCAGAATCCAGAATGTACTTTCTATTTATTCCCTTATTTTTTTTTCTACTCGACCCTCAAAATGTACAGAAGAGTATTTTGTCAAAAGACTGGCTAACAATATTTTCAAATTTTTATATATTCAAATCATACATACTGGGCCTTCTTCATAGGGTGGCCAACATGGCAAGCTCCAAACATGAGTGATCTCTATGTCAGTTGTGTGGCACTGGCCAGTTTCCCAAGTAGAGACTGTGCCACTGTGGGCATCTGCGTTCTTCCACCACTGTCCTTCATAACAGATGTATGTAGATGGGCTGAGATCGCTTACAGATTTATACAGATGTGTATGTAAAATGAACTCTGTACACCTACAACTTCGTATTGCTGTGAAGCTGCAGTTATGTCTCTAGAGAATCTTATTGTGCCTGGAATCTGGCCAATCATGGTCGTGTGTGTGGCTCCAGAAATCATTTTGGCAGACCTAATTCTCCATCTTAAAGCACCTCTTCAGTCGTGAAAATCTTCAAGAGTGGAAACAATTTTAGTAAATAAAATGGGCCCAGAACAATGTTTATATGACATGCAAGCAGAAAGTATTTAAAACTACAGTCACCCTTTTTAAAAATGTAAACAGAATGAAAAATGGTATGTACATTTTTGTACATGACTGTATTTTGTATAAACTTAAATAAAATATTTTGAACCATGAATGTTCCAAAATTTTTGACAGTATCAGGAACGTATTACTGATGGGGTCCACCTTTGGGGTCTGACCCTTCCCTTGAATAGGGAATCAAGCTGCTCCCCTGAGCTCCTCAGAAGCCTCACGAGGATTATGTTTTTGGCGTTTTGTCTCAGGGAGGGCACCAGAAGGAAAGGCAAAACCGGATACAAGCTAGGCATGCCCATGGTCATAGGTGAAAAATGGGCTTGTGCTCTCTGCTCAGCTGCCTTTAGAAGAATTTGTGGAAGGGGCTGAGGGGTTGCAGAAACAAAGGCAGTAAGCAAAAAAAAAAAAAAAAAATGTGTAAGTACATTTCCACAGTCTGTTTTGCCATCACGAGTGAATACATTAGCCATTTGCTACTCTAAAGCTAATAAAGCCACCAGAAACTGTGACTCAGGAGAAAAGGCACATTTTGTGTGAAGTGAGCACCTCATCCTTTCCCTCGCCTGTCACGGGCCAGGTGCTCCGACATCAGCCTCCTCACCCTACCGCTGAGACAGCACCTCCGTGATGGGCAGGCCTACAGGTGTCTTTTATACTGCACATGTTACATGTGCTCTATGTGATTAAAGAAGTGTTAAAAATATATTAGACCTGGAATTTTAAAAAATAAGGCTTGAAGTAAGGAACTTGTCCTAGCTGAAACCAGGATTCAAACTGAGATCTGTCAGACTTTGGAGTGCAAAGATGCAGTACTGCTAACAATGGCACAGTTTAAGTCCATTCTGCCAAAACTGAGTAACTTTTGAAACACTAGGTCTAAAATAATAAAATTGAGGCAGCAGTGACCACATTTGATGATGCTCCATTTTCATAAATTGTATTTGACGTTGCCCTTTTGAGGACCAGAAAGTGATGCTCTCCTAGGTCCACCAGGTTCTACAGCCTGTTTCAAAGCCCACTGGTCCTCGGAAGCCCTCCACTCCCCCAGCGAATGTTTTTGCTCCTAATCCTGTAACAGTTTGCAGTACCGTGACTACTTGAATGGGAGTTTCTGGATGGGGTCCTCTGCATGGCCTTATTATTGCCTCTTCTAGAAATGGCTTCTGAACCCGGTAAGACAAAATATATCAGTTATCCCTAAGCCAGGTCAGCTTATCAAGGCTATATATACACAGAAGAATTTTATATTCAGTAAAAGCCAAAAGTCAAAATTCCCAAATGCATTTTTAGAATCCTGGCTGGCAGGCAGAGAAATGGGTTTGGCAGGAACTAGAGTTGTTGACAGCTTGGTTCTCACTCTTCCTTTCCAGCAAAGAGGCTTCTACCACAGGGTGGCTTCTCCTGCTGTGGGGCATCTGCCCTGGGAAATGCAAAGGAGTACGGCCCAATGTGAAACTTACTTGAACTGAGCCTCTGAGACCACTCAGACCTCTGTGTCTTAGTTGGGCCTATGAGTGTATCAATTATATGTTACTGTGAATTCTGAAACTCAAAATCTTTTAGATGTTTGAATTTTTCCTTTTTCTCAAAATTCAAAGATGCCCAGAAATCCTTGTCATGCACAACTTGGAGTACTCCTTGGTGTAAGATATTTTCGAGACTGTTTTTTTGTAACTGTTCTTTTCAAAGTACTTAAAACTACTAGACAAGATTCGACAAAGGGGAAGAGAGGAAGGACGTGAAGTATATACACCTCTCTGGTAGCAGACAGCAGTGCTTCTCAAATTTAATATGCGCGTGAATGTCTAAGGGGGCTTGTAGTATAGTAGCCCTGGGGGTGGGGGTCTGACATTCCACATTTCTGACAAGCTTCCAGGTGCTGCCATGCCGTTAGTCCAAGGGCCTTGCTTTAAGTCAGGAGTGGAGACTGAATCCTGGGTATTTGTGGAAATGAGCAGCTCTAGTCAATTCAAGATCCTGAGTTAGCAGAGACCAGCACATTTGACAACACCAATAAAGGCTAGATGCTACTGGCTGCTTAAGGCCCAGACTGCAGACAGATGGCTGAGCTCTGCCATCTGGGTATATTACTTACCCTCCCTAAGTCTCCATTTCTTTATCTGAAAAATGGAAACAATCATAGCACCTACCTTATGGGGTTATTATGAATTTACTTGAATGAACATAAAGTAAGCACACAATCAATAAATGATAGTGGTGGGTTATTATTATCAGCATTGAGACACAGTCTTTCTATGCTAAAGTCTAACGACATTATGATCGGCTGCAAAAAAGGAATCGTCTTTGCCCCCGCAATCACACTCCTATTTCTTGTTGTTATAAGTCAGAAGCAGAACACACCTCCAGCACTTTACACAGAAATTAGTGCTAACAAGGCAAGCAAAATTTTATGAGAACACTGACCCATTCTCTCAGGGGGAAACTAAAATTGACTACTAATATTCTCAAGTAAATTGTATCAAAACCTGTGTGTAGCTGTCTTAGATCTATGCTTGCTAAATTCCTTCTCTCATACAGCACGGCAAACTCGTCTAAGTCTACTCCTCAAAATTTTTTGGAAGATCCAAATCTGCTCAGACATGTAAAA